ATTCGTGCGAAAAAGCGGAGAAATCCGTAAAAAAACGCAAAATGGGACCCCTTTTTTGGCCGTTGGTTTTCACTCATTAACAGGTGACAGCTCAGAAAGCGGGCGTATGAACGAGTTCAGCGCAACGCGTTTGGTAACACCATGCCAAACCACACTCCAATCGAGCCGCTCCAGTGCGCTGCTCGTCCAAATCACCAACTAAACTAGTGGGCGGATCGCTTTTGGGGGCGGAGTGCTTTCGAAGTCCTGCTCAGCAACCAGCGCACCTTTCGTCGTGAAAGCGCTACACCTCGCTTCCTGGCAGCCAAGTAACTGATTCGTGTGGTGCATATGCTTCTCGATGCGCTCCCACTTTATCGTAATCGCTACCTTTAAGTAACGACGGAAGGGGCTAATAAAAGACCAGGATTATGCCCGAGATGAAAAACAGCGAAAACTTTCTGATCTTTTTAATACTAGGAAATTATATCAGAAATTAAAGAAAATGTTAAAGCGGCTACGGCTTCCAACATTCACTCTTGCTCTTCCTCCTTCTTTTACATTTTCTTCCGAGAGTGATCACCTTAATTCAACCAAGCGATTTATGCTTGAGTGTGACATCTGGCGCATATTAGGTTGCTAAAAGGTTATATGTACTGGTTTCTTTACCAAAATTCAGAAATTCAGACCTCAATTAAGATGAGATAAAGAAATAATTCTCCGTAGGACGCAGGACCATCATTCCTCATACGTTCTGCCATCCATTTGCAAACTTCCGGGCTTGACCAACGAACAAATCTTCGATTTCAAATTTGAAGAACTCGCCTCTTCATTCTCATTCGGCCTACGAACAGTAACTTTGAATGTTGTGCACTATAATCAGCGTTATAATGGGAATTTCTCATGGAGATACTCCTGAGATGTTTCCATGAAGTTACAGCGGTCGGCACCAGATGGAACAAACATAAAATTTGTGTTTTTCGGGTTGTAAAACAGCTTTTGCTTCAGCCTAGAAATATAATAACAATATTCTCCGCCAGAGTTCGGACAAACTTCTCAATCGATCATTGTGTGATTGTGCTGAGCTATTTTCTGCCAAATGCACTTATTTCTTCGCGTTAAACATTAAAATGCAGATTTTACTCTGATGGGGATGATGAGGTGGAATGATCGACAGTACCATTTCTGGAAATGTGCTCAGCATCCAACTCCTGTCAGTAAGGGCAGGAAAGAGAGAGGGGGCACAGTGTGACACGACAATTGAATTTGTTCCTCGCACTGAACCTTGACGCTCATCGAAACACCTCTGTGAAACAAACGGGGCGTGGTTGAGCTGTGCTTCATTCGACCCACCGAGTACAACAGTGCTTTGCTTTCAGGTGGTCGACGAAACGCATTTTTCTAAAAATGAGATCCGATCAATATATCGAGCGTTCAAGGAAACTTCTCCGAACGCGGTAATCAATAAAAGTTAGTTCGTTACTTAGTTCAGTTTATGAACAGCATCGCTGGCCACATAAACAGCTGGTCGTCTTGGGGGACTGAAAATATTCATTTGCAGGTATTCTGAGAGAGAAGTTTGCTGAGTTATTTCCACATGGTGATATAGAGCACTATTCCGATATGTTATTTGATACATTTGATAACGACGGCAATGGAACAATTAATTTCCAGGTTAGTGAAGTTGCAATGCCTATCCATGGAGACGTCGTTCTCCCTGGGGTCGCCGCCGCGCCGCCGCACGCGGCGATCGACGCGGCGAAGGCTGTGGTGGTTGGATGTAACGGTGTGGCCAGTAACTCGGAACATCGCTGGCATTTTCCCAAGTTTCGGACTGTCGATTGATAGAATGCGTATTAACATTCGTATAATGAGGACTGAATGGTTTGCCCCTCAAATTATGAAGCGACCCGGAATCGTTTTATACGAAGTTGTTTCCCCATGCAACTCAAATCCCAATAGAACATTAGCGGCGAAACAAATACTGCTTTAGCCATCTTAAAATCTCTGCGATGCGCACGGACTCGTGGTAAATTTGTTCGATCGTTCTGCCGAATGAGTAACTTAGGCGCTGTTGAGTGACCTGTCTTTAATTTGACTGACCTCCTTCCTCCCCAATGGCGTGAAAGAGAGTAGATCATGCAGTATGGCGATATGTTTTCACATGACGCCCATTCTACATGACGTTAATACGCAGTTTACTATGGTTCGTTCACTCAGACTGTTTCAGAAAGTTCCAATGTTCTCCGCAGCGTTTCTTAATTTCCAAACTTAATTTCTGGCGCTCATGTCCATGAGGAGACATCAAAGTGGAAGAGCCTTACTGTGCTTGGGACTAGACACCTCGTCAGCTTACAATGAATTAGAAAGTACTGCAACCATGGACACACAAACGCTCTCACATCGCGAAACCGCCTGCGCACGCGCGAGGATCGCCGCGCGACGATGCGCTTGACCCCAAGGGAGAAACCACCCCCGCTGGCCTACATGATCTGTGGGGCGAAGTGAGGGTTCCACACGGCGTTTCAAAGGCAAGGGTCAGGATCAGACCACTGGAGCAATCTCTTCGGTAGGTGGAGTAGAGCTGTCTGGGAACGTCGTCGATGGGCCATTGACATCGCTCCAACGAGTGCGGCGGGGTGCTAGAGCATCCATAAGTTGCTGCCTTCGTCGTGAGATAGTTTGGAGACTGCCCAATGACGACGCATTCTGCAGTGCCTCTCGTCGACGTGCCTGTTCGCTTTGTCTCTTCTTTGCAACTCTCCTTATCTTTTCACCAGCGCCTTCCAAAGAAAAGTTTGGGTCCTGATTTTAGTGTTTTCAATAGCTTGTTTTCCTTTCTTTCCAACCCACTCCCCGCTCCCACCCTCATTTTTGAGCGTTCCTTCAAACCAGTTTTATCTCTGGGCTTGCCTTTAACACATGAGGTCGGCGTGATGGACCAGAAAAAGCGCCCATACCACGCGGAAAACCTATAAGCAGAAAATGCTCAGTACGATATACCTGTCAAAGGCAATGGATACGATACATTGGCCGCTTCTATATAGAAAACCGGGAGGATAAAAGGATAAAGCATTTGCCGTTGATCAATCCCTTTTTGGGATGCGGCACGCATTCTACTTCCATTTGTACATTCGTAGTGGCGTTTGAATGCGATGTGGCCTATACAATGACTTGCGGGGGCCAGCCGATGTACAAGTCAGTGTTTTTATCCTCCCAGACAAGTCTGGTACCAATTAACCGACCCCGGAGGGATGGAAGGCTTGGTTGGCCCGGGCGGACTGGGGATCTTGAACCCCGCATACCGCGCGTGGGAAGTGCTGCCACTTGCCATTACACCACTGCCGCCCAAATATTGGGTTGGAGCATAATATTGTAGCATTTTTTCGAGTGCATGAAATTCAATCAGTACAAGTATCACCCGAAAAACCGCTCATACTATTTGAAAGTACTCTTCCCGCTCTACAAAACCGTAGTTGTCATTTTCTTCAAATTGTAGCTGTACTCAGGTATAGAGCTTAGAAGTTGGAAAATCCAGACGGCGAAAATCGGCGTTTCGACAGCTGCTATTTCTCGGTTAAATAAAGAAGAAAAACGCCAAATTGGAAGTTCTTTCAAATCCATTGTTCTAACGAACCTTGCTCTAAACGACCCTACCTTTTTCGCTCAAATCAAAACCATATTCATTTCGTACAAATTGAGAATAATAAGGACTCCGAAAACGAGCTCAATATTTTTAAATTCTATATCCGGTGATCTCTGCGAAATGCAATCAGAGTTGTAAATAATGACTATCACTGATTAGTTTTATGTTTTTTATTTTTTGCTTCAAATGTTTGTGTGAAGAAATGAAGAATGCAAGCGCTACGATATTATGCTTCAACACAATAGAAAACATACCCAGTAAAAAGGTAAGCTAGATATCTAGGCTGTGTGTGATTCCCTTACGGCTAAGGGCACACGTGATGATGGTCTCAGAATTCTACGCGTTTTTCTGCCCGTTTTTCTTTTCCGCCACGCTGTTGTGCAAAACTTAGGGACGGGAGTAAATTTCGCTGGGAAGGAAATGCTACAGCATAGTGCAGAGGGTTACAGATAGAAATACGCAATGAAAGGGTTGGAAGAGACACTTTTCTTCGACTGCAAAACATGCTCTGTTACGTGCTCCATAGAAATTTGATTGGGGTAAGCGGACAGGCTCAACCAATCGCCGAAAATCCTAGCGTTCCAAGAGTTTTCCACCTAAGGCTGCTCGATGCGCTCGCACATTGTCCTCCATACTAATGAAATTGGGAACGCACCGCTGAAAAGATGCACATAAGAGAGGAGTACAGCGTCACAATAACGTCGATCAGAAAGCATTCCGCGATCACGAGTTGGGAGGTTGGTACGCCCTTGCAACTTTATGCCTCCCCACACCATATCGAATGGACTATCAAAACAATCATGTTGAACGATGGTCCTGGGTGCATTACATGTTCCTATTCTCGCCATATGCGGGTAAGTCCAGAATCACTACTCACATTCAATTTGCTCTTAACTGAGAAGAGCACGCGATCCTCCAATTGGTGGTCCATTTCCAATGTCTCGGCACCTAGCAAATGTTTCCGCCGATGCGCGGGTTTCAAAGGAACATCAGTGCTTTTTTTTTCAAGTTCGGGTAGAGAGACCATCCCTATGCGGTCACTGTGCCACTGTTCAAGCTGGGATTACGTGCCTTACAATCCTGATAAATGTTTTTGCAACTGCAGCCTGCGACTGACGTGGGTCCATTCTTTGCCT